TGATTTTTTATTTTGCAACTTTGCTGAAGTCATTTATCAGTTCTAAGAGGGTTTTTTTTTTTTGTAGAGTCTTTAGATTTTTCTGCATATAAGAGCATGTCATCTGAAAAAGGAAATATCAACATTTTCTTTTCCAATATGGATGCCGTTTGTTTTGTTTCCTTGCATGTTTGTTCTGGATAGGACACGCTACCGTTGCATAGACTAAGAGTACTGAAAAGGTGGGTTCTCAATGTTAGAGAAAAGAATTTCAGCTTTTCCACATTCAGTGTGTCAGCTGTGCGTTTGTCATGTATGTCCTTTATTGAGGTGAGATATGTTTCTTCTGTACATAATTTGTTGACAGTTTTTATAATGAAGGGATATTGAATTTTATCATATTTTTTCCACATCTAATTATCCTTATTTCCATGGTATAAATTCTATTTCATCATGATGTATTATTATCTCTTTGATCTTATGGGTGTGCTGTTGGATTCAGTTTGTGAGGTTTTTTTTAAATTTTTTTTTATTATTAGTATTTTGCCTCTACTTTTCAGGGATAGAGGCCTGTAGGTTTCAAGTTTTTGTTTTTGTTTTTTGTTAGTCTTTGTCTGGTTTTGGAATCAGGGTAATGCTGGTCATGTAGAATGAGTTAGAAAAATAACTTTCTCTTCAGTTTTTTGCAGTAGTTTGGCAAGAATTGGTATTAGAGTTTTTGTTTTTGTTTCTTTTTCAGTTTAGTAGAATTACAAAAAAAAAAATCATTCATTTCTGTGCTCTTCTTCATTGAGAAACGTTTCATGAGTGATTCAATCTTGGGCTTACCGATACTAGGTTCTGTGTTTTTTCCTTCTTGGTAAGTTAAATATGTGCAAGAATTTATCCATTTGTTAGATTTTCTAAATTGCTTGTGTACAGCTGTTAATAATGGTTTTTAATGTCCATTTATATTTCTGTAATATCTTTTTTTGGTTTCTGGATTTTTATGTTTTGTCTTTTCTCCTTTTTTTCTTAATCTAGTAAATGGTTCATTAATTATTAATTTTTTTTTAGGAAAGCAAGTTTTTGTTTTAATGATATTTTGTATCTCTGTCTCTGCTTATGATTTTTATTACTTCTACTTTCAGGCAATTTGGAGTTTGATTTGTTCTTATTCTTCTATTCCTTGAAGTAAATCATTAGACTATTCATGTGGAAACTTTCTATCTTTTGATATAGTTGTTTGTTGCTATAAACTTCCCTCTTGGTACTGTTTTTGCTATTACCCATACGTGTTGATATGTTGTGTTTCTATGTAATCTGTTCTGAGAACTTGTTTTACTTTCTTTAATTTTTTCATTGACTTGTTGGTCATCCAGGAATGTAATTTCCATGTATTTTCACAGTGTCCAGTTTCTCTAGTATTTGACTTTGAGTTTTATTCCATCGTGATCTGAGAAGACATTTGATATGATCTTGATTTGTTAAAAATTGTTGAGATATATTTTGTGATCTAACATACAATTCATTCCGTAGAATATTCCACATGTTGAAAAGAGGAATGTGTATTCTGTGTCTATTATATAAAATGTTCTGTACCTTTCTGTCATGTTCAGTGGGTCTGTGTCCAATATTTCTTTGTTGACTTCCTACCTACCTACATGATCTGTTCAGTAGTGCTGAACTCCTCCATTGTTATTTTTTTGTGGTCTGTTTATCTCTTTAGCTCTAATAATATTTGCTTCATATATTGAGTTTCCAGTGTTGTGTGCATATATATTTATAATTAGTGGACCCTCTTACTGAATTAATCCCTTTCTCATTATTCCACGACCTTTTTGTCTCTCTTTCTTTTATTCACTTAAAATTTATTTGGTCCTATACGTCTACTCCAACACAGTCTTGGTTATTTTTCTTTTTGTTTGTTTGGAACATCATTTTTTATCCCTTAACTTTGTGTCTTCACAAATGAAGTAAGTTTCCTAAAGCCAGAATACAGTTTTGTCTTGCTTTATTAATTCATTCACATAGTCTGTAGTTTTTAATTGAGGAATTTTAACCTATTACATTCAAGGTTGTTATGGATAGATGAGGACTTACTCCTGTCATTACATTAATTGGTTTCTGATTGTTTTACGTGTTCTTTATTCCTTTCTTCCTCCCTTATTGTTTGTTGCTTTCCCATGTGTGTATCTGTTCCACCAGTGAAGTTTATCCTTTCCTGTGTTTCCATGTCAGTGTATATTCCCATATTCCCTTCTTTTTCCAGAAGTAGGACTCTTTTAAGCATTTCTTATCCAGTGGCCTGATGGTATGAACTACCCATAATTTTTGCTTGCCTGGGAAAGACTGTATTTGTCCCACTTTTCTGAAGGATAACACCCCTGAGTATAGCAATTTTGCCAATTTTCTTTTCATTTCAGCATTTAAATATTCCATGTCATTCTCTCCTGGCCTATAAGTTTTCACCTGAGAAATCTGTTAATCTAAGGGTAATTCTCTTATATATGACTTGATACGATTCTCTTGCTTTTTCTTAGAATTATTTTTTTATCTTCACTATCTTTTTATTGATACATATTTTGTATGATTTATGCTTATTTTATTAAAAACAATGTTCTAATAAAAATCATGGTGTATATTTTTGTGTATATCTGTAAACATTATTTCCTAAGGTAGCAAGTAGTGCTCATTTGTTCTGCAGAAAATATTGTTCTTAATAATAAATGTTACCACACAATTTACCTCTAAATGTTGTGACAAATTACATCCTTACCAATTGTTGTTAAAGACAAGACCTATTTTAAATAATTGGACACTTGCATTTATATCACTGTGGATTTTTTCTCATCATAAACCATCTGCAAATTTTCTATTGTAAAATATACTTAAATTCTGGTAAGGGGAAGAATAGAAAAAAATTCAGATTTAAATGCATGAGAAGATGAAAATGTTGGTGGAACCACAGAAAAGAAGATACAAAAATTATTGTTAAGTCAAAAAAAAGGAAAATATTTGGTCTTTATTTTAAAAGACAGAGTTTTACTTTATTGCCCTTGGTGGAGTGCCATGGTGTCACAGCTCATAGCAACCTCCATCTCCTGGGCTTAGGTGATTCTTCTGCCTCAGCCCCCTGAGTAGCTGGGACTATAGGTACCCACCACAATGCCCAACTATTATTGTGTTGCAGTTTAGCCGGGGCCAGGTTTGAAACCACCACCCTTGGTATATGGGGCCGGCTCTCTATTTACTGAGCCACAGGTGCCACCCCACCCCCACAAAAAAGGAAAATATTTAAACATACATTAATTTAAGAGGAGTGTATAGACACATCTAATTGTAAAAAAAAATGTTAAGTTTAGGAAAGTCTAATTATGTTAAGTTTCTTTCTCAGGTAAGAAGATCTCATTTTTTAAGAGTAAGTGCTTTGGGTAGGAATGAATTAGAAAGACAAAGGCTTAAATTTCAACCAAGTTCCTTAAGGAATTTCAAAATGGAGATACTTTCAAACAGTATAAAATGAATTGTGATGGTAGTTTAAAATTTTGCATACAGGATGCTTTCTATACTCTATTTTCACAAATGTAAATGCACCACCACGTAATTAGGGCATTATACCATTACAATTAAATATAAGGGTTCTTGAATTTACATCTGAGCTGGAAGCCAGAATTATCATATTCCAGCTATATAACATTTGACATGCTGGTTCAACTGTTCTCATCTGAAAATGGGAATAAAATTTAAGGGAAAACATACATGAAAAGGTTATCAGGAAAACAAACGGTTTATAATCAGTGAAGATATGTCAGTTATTATATCATTGTGTAACTTTTCAATAATCTGGTTTCCATATATTTTTGTTCTATCCAAAATATGCCATGATTGAGAATAATCATAGCTAGATTTTCCAAATCCTCTTTGACACATATATACAGATGCTTCCAGGCTCAACACAGAATATCCAGCTTTGAAACTATGAACATGAAATAGCCAAAGTAATGAGAAACTTTGGGTATGAAACTTCTGAGAGAGATAAAGAGGCTAAAATGTGCTTCATCAACATAATTCAATATCAAAGTTCAGTCTTCTATACATATGAGTATTCCAATCCTCATTTCATTGGACACTGATTGAAAAATTATTCTTTCTGATCACAAAAAATATGTAATTTACAAACATCTGTAATAACAAAGGAATCGCTCAAGGAACAGCATCAAATTTGTTTCTAAAGAGAAGAACACAAACAAAATAAAGAAACTGCCTGTTTGGGGTCCAGTATGACTTTAAAATGTTTTTCTAATAGTATTGGTAAATGGAACAAGTTAAATCAGCAAAGTTCAGGACCAGAGTAGGTGTGGGGATCAGCCAGGGCAGAAAAAGAATGTACAACAAGCTTACGTGAAGTATACTGCCTATACAGTGAACTCAATGTTGTTTAACTAATGGGACACATAAGAGAAAATGATGGAGGCTCCGACCACAGGTTACAGTCCAATTGCTGTAATTTCTGCTGACTTAGATGAGGAGGATACGCACAAATTTGTAGCATGTGAAATCATGAATTGGGCAATTTGTTTATTTTCTGACAAACTGTCACTCAGATCACTCTTTTCAGCATTCTGAATACTTAAGTCCCATGAAACTGTGAATAAATGTCCTTTTGATTAATACATACACGCACATACACACAAACACACTTACACAACTCAAATATCTTCCAAATGTTTTTCCTCTTCTCAAAGCCACAACCTGTAACTTGGCATGTCCCTAAATCATTGTGGCTAAAACCTAGAAAAGAAACGGAAAGAAAAAGATTGTATCCCTATTCAAAAACTTGTGTTATCCCTCTTGCTTTATATTACTTCTTGTCTTAGAACTGTAATCTTTCTTACTAAGTTCCCCAAACCCACGACTTTAACACATTCATAAATTTTCAATTGATATCAATCTCTAGTCAATGGAACATTGTAGTATTTTATGAATTTCAGAATTTATAAATCACTATATTTTTTGCTTTGGAGGAAAAATCTCTGAGGAGAAAGCTGAAACGTCCAGCCCTTATGATGTCAGCATACAATAAGACCAATGGTCATCCGTCAACCTTCATTCTCATTGGTATTCCTGGCTTGGAGGCTTCCCACGTCTGGATCTCAATCCCCTTTTTTATGGTCTACCTTCTGGCCCTTCTGGGAAACTGTTCTCTTCTGTTTATCATCAAGACAGACTTCAGTCTCCATGAGCCAATGTACCTGTTCCTCTGCATGCTGGCTGTGGCCGACCTTGTTGTGTGCACTACTGCTGTACCCAAGCTCCTCAGCCTCTTCTGGTTCCATGACCGAGAGATTCGCTTTGGAGCCTGCCTCACTCAGGTGTTCCTGATTCACGCTTGCTCCACCATGGAGTCTGGCTTTTTTCTGGCAATGGCTTTTGACCGATACGTGGCCATTTGTAAACCACTGAGACACTCAGCTATTCTGACACACTCAGTCGTCAGTGGGATGGGCATAGGGATTGTACTCAGGGGCACAGCACTGCTCTTTCCTCACCCCTTCCTGCTGTATTGGCTTCCATACTGCAGAACCAACATCATTTCTCACACCTACTGTGAATTCATGGCCCTTATCAAGATTGCCTGTGCTGAGACAAGAATCCGCAAAACCTATAGCCTCATTGTTGCCTTCCTTACTGGGGGGGTGGACTTAATATTGATCATTTGTTCTTACGTCCTCATACTCCACACTGTCTTCCAACTCCCATCCAAGGATGCCCGGCTCAAATCCTTAGGTACCTGTGGCTCCCATGTGTGTGTTATCTTGGTGTCCTATACTCCAGCCTTCTTCTCTTTTCTCACTCACAGATTTGGACATCACGTGGCTCCCCATGTCCACATATTTGTGGCCAACATTTATCTTCTTGTCCCACCTATGGTAAATCCCATTATCTATGGGGTTAGGACTAAGAGAATAAGGGACAAGTTTCTTAAATGGTTTAGTTTTCCACACCTCTAGACTAAATTATTTATGTTTGTGAGTAACATCAGAACAAATCATTATATTATGTATCTTAGAATGTGTGATTCTTCATTAAGCTCTTTTAAAGATAAAATAGCTGAAATTATTTAGTGAAAAATAACTTGTTCAAAGACAATTGTATGTTCAAACACATATAAGTATAGATTATCTATGGACTTTGGAAAAATTTATTAAATAGATGTGGGAAATATTCTGAACTAAGAATGTCATCAGATAGCTTAGAATTAATGCTTTAATCTAATCATCATAAATGCCATGGCATGTATTTTTCACAATTCCAACTGGCCTAAAGCCTAATATTCTCATCATGAAAACATGAGTCTGAACATATTTGGAGACCAAGTTTATAAAAGAGAAAAGTCTATAAGAAAATCTTACTTCAAAACTGTCCTTTGCTAGAACATTTTGATGACATTATGGAGTTCTTTCTAAGATTCTGTGATTTTTTTTTATTTATTCCTAAATTATTTCCCCCTCCTCTCTTTTCCAGGGAACTTTAATTTACAATCTACCTTTTCTAATATATGAAGTGGAAAAACTACATCTGTTATGTGTCAAGAAAAATGTCTTCATGTTTTAAAATGATAATTAAAAACCCACTATTTTATCTAATATCTTAAATTTTAAAACATTGAAATCATATGTCTTATCTATATTTAAGAATTACTCAGCTTGAGCTTATGTAAAATAATATTTGACAATTTGAATGATATAATTCCATATATTTTATGTTCTCACCTAGATTTATTTTTGTGTGGTTTCTGAAAAGATGAGATAAAATACAAGAATGGAAGACGTGTGTTCCAAATATTGTCCTTCAGTCATAGTGACAAGAACTTTTTTGAAGAACTTAATTTGTTTTGAGAGCCAGTGAACACTAAATAAATCTTAATGTTAGGCATATATTACTCAACAGAACAGGACGTCAGGCTTATATTACTCAACAGAACAGGACGTCTTGGTGTGTAGATGACCATTAGGGAACACACATGATCTTTAGAAAGCTTTATTACCAGGAAGAGTGTGTGAAAGCAGGAATTTAATTGAACTTAATTTATTCTTACCAAAATTTCCACTCTCTTGCCACTTCTCCCTAGAAGACAGTGACTAAGGAGTGGAGAAAGGATGGCCTAAAAATTACTTGAACATCAACAGTCTGGTGAAACCATTTCCTCCAGTAATAAAGTTGATTCAAACATATACATGTTCATTTTCAGTATAATATCATGTAATTCCTATATAGGGTTTACAGTATACCGGTCCATCCTGTAATTTTACATAGCTTTACCCAGTCATGCAAACTTAAAAAGATATGTAAGGTTTTACAAATGAGAACATTGAGGCATAGAAGAATTTATTGACATTTTCATGGTCATAGGGACTATAAAGGTGGAGGTTGGATTCTGGATTTTAACTTAAGATGTCTTGCTCCAAGTTTGCATTCTTTTTTTTTTTTCTTCTTAAGTGTAAGCACAAATATATTGTCTCACAAGTCAAGAATTTTGGAATAGGAGTCTCCATGGTTGCTTAATAACTGACACAATGATATCAGTTTATTTATTTATCTAAAAGTATTAAGGGGCTATAAATGCTTTTGTTACATGGATACCTTGCAGAATGCTGAAGTTGGGGCTTTTAGTGTACCCATCATCATAATACTGTTCATTATACACAATAGATGAATTTTTACTTGTCATCCCCTTCCTCCTTCTCCTCTCCTTGGTTTCCAATTTCCTTAACATTTCTTTGTGCCCCTGTGAGCCCATTGTTTAGTTCTGAATTATTAGTGATTACATGTGTGGGTTTTTTTTATTTCTAAGATAATAATGGTCTCCAGTTCCATCCTAGTTACTGAAAAAGTCATTATTTTATTAATTTTTATGGCTGAGTGTCTTTGTGTGTGTTATTATCCATTTTTTCTGCTTAACAAAATCCCTTAAACTATTTTTTAATTTTTATTTTATTTCCAATTATTATGGGAGTACAAAGATTTTTGGTTACATGTATCCCTTTCTTAATGCTTGAGTCAGTGTTATAAGTGTGCCTGTCACCCAGGTGGGTTTTAACCCCTTCCTGCTTGATTTCCATTGATTATTACTTCCCTCTGTGCACATGTGTTGTCATTGTTTAGTTCCAATTCAGTAGTGAATTCATGTGGTAATTCTTTTCTATTTTTAAAAAAGAATTTTTTTTTCAGTTTTTGGCTGGAGCTGGATTTGAACCCACCAACTCTGGCTTATGGGGTCAGCACCCTACTCTTTTGAGCCACAGGCGCCGCCCATCTTTTCTAATCTTTATATATTTCACTGCAGTTGAAATATATAATGGCCTCCAGTTCCACCCAAATTGTTACAAACGGCATCCATTCATTCTTTTTCCTTGCTACATGGTATTTCACGGTCTACTATGCAACATTATTTTAATCCTCTCAAGAATTGATGGATACATGGATTGATTTCCCATCTTTGAAATTCTGAATTTTGCTACAGTAAGTGTTTTAGCGCAGGTGACTTTTTGATAAAATGATTTCTTTTGAGTAAATACCTAGTAGTGGGATGGTGGAATCTAATGGTAGGTGTACTTTTAGTTCTTTGAGGAATCTCCATACTGTTGTTTGTGAAGTTGTACTAATTTGCAGTTCCACCAACATTGTATAGGTGTTCCTTTCTTTCTGCACCCATACCAGCACTGATTCCTTTTCAAATTTTAATAAAAGCCATTTCAAACATTTTCTATTTGAAATCTAACAGCAGATTTTTGGTTAATGTAAAACGTGTGAAACAACGCTTATATATTTTTCCTTTTGTTGCCTCTGCTTCTGTTGTCATTTCCAAGAATCATTGTCAAAATTAATGTCAAGGAGCCATTTTCCAATTTTTTTTTTTTTAGGAATATTTACATTTCAAGTCTTCCATGTATATCATTAATCATTTGAAAGTTTTATTTTTTTGTGAGTGGTGTAAGATAGGTACCCAATTTTTATCATTTTTTTCTTGTGGATATCCAGTTTTCCCAACACTATTGAAGAAATTATGAATTTCCCATACTGTATACTTGGTACACTTGTCAAGTACTAGTTGATTATATATGTGTGAGTTTATGTCTGGGCTTTCTATTCTGTTCCATTGATCTTTCTATTTTTATGGTAGTACTATATTGTTTGATTGCTACCTTTTTAGTTTTTTGTTTGTTTTTTATTATTTCCTTTTAGTGCTCTATCCAGGAAGTATATTATTTTAAAATTTTTCTATAATTTAAGAGGTACATATTTTAAGGCAATGCAAGAGTGACATTTTATTTGGTGTTATGTGTGAATTTTCTTAGAGCTCTTACTTTGCTAGTGTACACTTCCCTGTGCCTACTGATAAAAGAGAAGTCTGACATACCTTTACTTTATGTTGTTTCATTTATTTCAGATTAGTATGAGGGTACAAATAATTAGGTAACATTGTTTGTACTTCTTAGGTAAAGTTCAAGTTGTAGTCCAGCCTTTCACCCAGGGGTTGTGCTGTGTTCCCTAACAGTGTGCCCATTAAGGGAGAGTTTATGAATCTCCATCCCTCTCTCACTTCCTTTCCCTTCTTCCTCTACCCCCACTTGAATTCAATTGAGTTCTTCTCTTATGTGAGTGTGTACTTGCCTATCTCTTGGTTTCATATTAGTATTGAGTGCATTGGATGCCTTACCATTTTTGTGATACATTCTAAGAAAAACGTCTTTATACTCTTTTCAGGTTAATACAAAAGATGCAAAGTCTCCACTTTTTTTCTGGCTGAAGAGTATTTCATGGTATGGATATAAATCAGAGAGTATGGTGGTTTCAGCCTAGTTCTTACTTTCTTTAGATTGTTTCAGCTATTCAGGTTTTCTTATATTTCCATAAACATTTTAGAATTTAAAAAAAATTATTTTGAGTATTGCCATTAAAATTTTGATAATGGTTGCATTAAATTTGCAGATTGATTTAGGCAGTATGGGCATCTTAATAATAATAATTCTTTCAAGATATGAACATGGGATATCTTTCCATTTGTAGTGTCTTCAATTTCTTTCATTGATGGCTTATAGTTTTCAGTATACAGATATTAATATACATTTTTCAAAAGAATGTATACAAATGGCCACCAGTACATGAAAAGAATCTCAACATCACTAATTTCAGGGAAATGTAATTTGAACCCAATGAGATATAACTTCACACCTGTTAGGATGACTCTGATCAAAAAGGTAAGAGCTGACAAATGTTACAAATATGGAGAAAAGGCAACCCTTGTATGCTTTGAGTGGTTGTGAAAAATAGTACAACTGTTACTGTACAGTATAGTGTTACAAAACAGTGTAGGGTTCCTAAATATGAAATAGAGAAATACTATACAATTCAACAATGTCATTTCTGGTAACCATATCTAATAAAATAAAATCAGTATTGACAATCGCCAATGTATGGAAACCATCTGATGTCTGACAGATGAATGGATAAAGAAAATCAAATAAAGAAACACACATACATATAATAAAATATTATTCAGCTATTGACAGACGGAAACTCCCCTGGAAACATGATCTTGTTCATTCCCTGGAGCACATTGTCAGGTTGTGATCTTCTTGACTTACCATTAAGCAGTTCTAGAAGGAGTGCATGATTTTTGAAATTTTATCCCATGATTTTACAATTACAATATTTCTAAAAGTTGAGTTTTGTTTTTATGGTCTACCAAATAAATACAAGTCTGTCTTTTAGCAAATTTGCCAGCACTGAGCTCCCACTCATATTTCATATGATCTCTACATTCTGGATGAGCGAAGACTGCGCTACCAATAGAAATATGGCATCCAGTCTATAATATTAGTCAGGAAACTGCATATTTACAGCCAATATATATGGGCAAATTCCTAAAATTTTTGAATTATTTTTATCATCATACAAAATATGATGCCTTTCATATGGCTCAGAGAACCCAAAATGCAACATTACT